GAGAAGCAATGCTCGTGGATTACGTCATCTCCCATTCATTTTGAGTATTGAGTGTGGAGCAGTCCGATGTCTCTCAGTCATGCTTTTCCTGTGCTTTTTAGGATGACAGATCAAAGGAAAAGCAGTTCGTGGTTATTAACTGCAAACTCTTTGACCAGGAGCCATGTCTCACTGGGCTTGTTCTCCAGGGCAGCCAGTGCCTCACGCATAGTAGGTGGTCAGTACATTCCGTTGGATTTAGAGGAGTTAAATTGCAATCCACTGTCTCAAGACATGTGTGGGACTCATAGCCAACATGGTAACATTTTTGAGAGTTCATGCTCAGCCGTCTGTGCCTGTGGGCGTGGTTACAATCCGAGCTAAACCCAAGCATTAAGGCCTGTCACCAGAAGGCGTCAAAACAGAAATCACTTACTAAGAATAAGGGTATGGGTCATTAATTTAGTTTAGTTTAGTTTTTGCATTCCAGTTTTATTGAGATATAACTGACATTCAGCACTGTATAACTGCATCATTAATTTAAAAAGCTGAGATACACTGAAAAGTCAGGTGTGAGGGGAAGCTTCCAGGGCTGACGAGATGGCAGCTAATAAAGAAAGAAGACATTTGACACTCAAACGTGGCATCAACAGCCTGCTGTCTAATGTTTACACCAGGGGACTTACAAGGACAAGACCAAACTCACATTCCCAGATCAATTTCTGTAAAGCCATAGGGTGGCTGGACATCCACCCAAGAGTTTCACGTGGGTATCTGTGGAAAAAACTATCCCCCCGATATGACCCTTGATGAGGATGCCTTCTGATTTATTGCAGGAAAATAATGTATGACTGGCAATGAAGTCTGACAGGAAACCTCCCTAGCAGACCCTGACAGCATCACATTGGTGTGATTAACCTCAGTGGGTTAGGCGTTGCCTTACTTGGTTTTAATATACTTTGAAATGCTTCGTACAGTAGAGAGCACATCACTTGTAGGTGATTTAATATGACGTGTGTGTTCATTTCTCTGAAACGTCTTCTCATCTAATTATAATATTTCAGTGGTGCACTCAGGTTCAGCTTTCACAGTTTGACGTATAAAACCTTTGTGTCATGGTGCAAGTGTAAATTTTCCCTCCTTGCCTCTGATTTTATCTATGTCTCTCTCTGACCCTCTTATCCTCTTTCTCTCTCTCTCTTCTTTCATTTTAGTCTGCATAAGAAGCCCCTAGGGGCCCTCATTCGATCAGTTTTCCAGCCCTTCCTCCTGTTCTGATGTACTGGGTCTGGGGTAGGGTCTGGGGGTCTGCATATATATGAGACTGTCCACCCAGGTGGATTCTGTTCAGGTGACCCACAGACCCACCATTCAGGTGCTTTAAAGGACATTGATTTAGAAACAGAGGTACCTAGAGCTCCATCAGTGGGCTTGTCTCATATGAGTAACACAAGTTACACACACGTTTATTACCACAATTCAAGAGTTAATAAAAATTTAAACTTTCCACTAGGGCTTTGCCAGGTAAGTCTTTCTCTATATGTCTAATCAGCATGGTCTTTCCATTTTTACCTTCAATCATTTTCACCACTTTCCACACCCTTTTCATCACACTCAGATTTGTTACTTTCATTGTATGTAGAAACAAGAAACAAAGCTATCTAATTTTTATCTATATGATTTAAACAGCTTCTTTGCAACAATTGGTTGGGTCATCTAGATTTTTTCAAGCCCTGTGCTGTCTAAATCTGCTGGATGTGTAGTACTGGACCAGGACGTCTTAAGCTTCTTTTTAGAATTGGAGCATGAAGTGTTAATAAAATGCCACAGTGGATTTAAAGCTTTCAATGTACTAAGAACTAATATAGTTATTAGCTAAACATGCATGGATTCATCATTGAAATGGGCACCAAAGCATTAATCTTATTGAGTATTGTTTTAGAAGTTCTGGCTAGTGTTAAGCCCTGAAAGAGAAAAAAACATATGGATTACATTATTCTATCATATAGAATGCATAGAAAAGTTTATTAAAGTCGACTGTAATTAAGAAGAGAATTCATAAATACCACTGGAGACAAAAAAAAAATTTAGAAAATCAAGGGCAAGCTAACACATCAGAAACAGCCATAGAAGATGTAGTAGAAGCATGATTGAACTCACAATAGAAACAAGATGTCCGAATTGATAATGGGAATGATTTTAACAAGTAGTGTCAGAAATAAAGGAAACTAGCAGTCTATTAGAATGCAAACAAAGTTTTGAATAAGCAGTGATAAACAGACACAACCTGATTTTTGGATGGAAAGACTGAGATTTATTAAATGTCAATTCTTTCTAATAAATTTATAGGTTTAATATAGTTCAAAGCAGTTTCAAAGGAATTATATTCACAACTTGAGGAAATAATTCTAACATTCATTTAGAAGAACAGCAGTTAATAATAGCTTTAAAAAATCTGAAAAAAGAAGAATAAGAAGAGGAACTTAGCACTTTGAGGTTTAAGAGTACATTATAGAGATTGAGTAATCAGGACAAAATAGGAGTCTCATCCAAGATTAGAGAATGAGATTGATAAAACACAGAAAGGAGACAGATTACTTATATGGGTGTACTATGTGAAAATTAAATGTCACAATCAAGTATTGATTATTCAGTGTATGGTACTGAGGTAATTGTTTAGCAGTGGGAAGGAGAAAAGCATTTTGTGTACTAGTCCCTCACAAGACACCAGTGTAAGTCACAGAGAGAAAGACAGAGCAAATGAGACTTTTCAATCTCTGAAATTATGGCAGACTAAATTACTATAACCAAACTCTGCTGATTAAAACTGAAAACTCTGAATAAAAAGAAACTTTCTTAAATGTGACAGAAAACTGACAAAGTAATAAGGAATTACCAAGTCAAAATTTAAATGAACAAGGGATCCTGGACATCTGCCTAACCAGGGGACCTGGAGCCTCATTTTCAACCCTCAAATGGTGGGGAAGAGAAATGAACGCCCAAGCCCTCCCAGAGTGGGTGTCCAAGGGGACCATCTGCTCATCAAGCCAGGGCACTAGGGGACCCACTCTCAGCAGAAGGATGAATTGGAGGGAATCCATTCCATTCTCCTCAGTGCCAAGGGAATGCATGCAAACCCACTCCAGGGGTGAACTTAACAACAAAAGAATCATTAAAATGTTGTAGCTTTCCATGGACTTGCAGTAGCAGTCCTGACATCTGGATGGCACAGACTCCCTCAATTAATGAATATAGTTTAAAGTGGTCCCCAACTGAACCTCACAACAAAATAAACAAACAAAAAACTCCATGTGAATCCTCTCCAGAGGTTCCTTCCTCCTAGGTCTCCAAGTATTCCCAAAACCATTTTCCAAGAGATATGAGCAGCTTTCAGTAAAGAATTTAAAACTACACAGAGAAGCAAAGAACCAGCAAAAACAGGTTTGCAAATACTTCAGCTATTGGAACTATCAGGTACAGATTTTCAAACAACTATACTTACTATTTTTAAAGAAATAAAAGGCTTAAAAATCTATAGACAATAGAAGATATTTAAAATAATCCCATTTGTTTGAAAGAGAACCAAAAAGACCTTCTTAAACAAACAAACAAACAAAATAAAGCAGTTAAAGTAAACACACACACACACACACACACACATATGCACAGATTAGATATCTCTGAAGAGAGAATTAGTAATTTGAAAGATAAAGACAGAAGAAAGTATCCAGAATGCAACACTGATAGACAAAAAATTAGGAGATATAAAACAGAGATGAATAGATGTGAAGGAAAGAGAAAGAAGATCTAACATATATCTAATCAGAATTCCAGGAAAAAAGGAGAGACTGAAGTCTAATGAATATTTGGTGAGATAATATCTGAGTATTTACCATAATTGATGGAAGATACTGATCTAGAGAGTTAAGAATTCTGGTGAATCACAAACAGAATAAATTAAAGAAGTATCGACACTGGACAAATCACAGTAAAACTGCAGTACACCAAAGACACAGACCGTTTTAAATTGGTTAC